GATTCTGAATAAGATTTCCCTTTGCAAAAATGAGATATGAAGCTTCGTTTTTGAATTATTAAGGAAAAACACGGACCAATCAGATCGCGAGAATTGCGCATACGCAGACGCGAGAGCGCAGCTTCGAGTCTAGAAGCGGAGCGCGCATAATCCTCGCGCTCTGATTGGTCCGTGCGCTCAACCACTAGATTCGAAGCTGTCGCTCCCGCGTCTGTGCGCGCATAATCCCCGCGCTCTGATTGGTCCGCGTTTTTCCTTAATAATTCAAAAACGGTGCATCACACAACATTTTTGCAAAGGGAAATCTTATTCAGAATCAACTCCCCTTCATTTCTGTTTAGTTTTGAGACACCCTGTATTGTTACTTATATGAGCAGTATAGGTTTTCAGAGATTAGCTAATCAAATTTAGATTCTTTATAAAAATTTGGAAATTCTTGCCACTTCTGGACATTCGAAATGTACGAAACTTTTGCTTAAAAGTTTGTGAAATTTTACAAACTTCAGGAGTTAGAAATTTCCAAATTTACAGAGGTACAGAGGTCTGCAGATTTGGGGGTTGAAATGTCCTCCTTTGTAAAATGCATGACACCTAGAATACCCATTACTTATAAAATATATTTGTACATATTTTAAAAATATATATATTTAAAAAATATTGTACATATTTTATGTTTCAAAAATATTGTAAATATTCTATAAATAATTTGTAAATACAAAAACTCCCAATACATGTTAAGACTTATCGTATAGTCACGCCTCTATCGAAAAGTTGAACGCGTGCACGAACAGCTCATAACTGTGCGGATTTTTTTCAACAAGATAAGTCCAGTGTACAAAGTTCTGTTAGGAACGCGACGCGAATTTCGCGCGATGGAAAGGATACGCTTCGACGCGACCATTCGAGTTCGAAAGACGAACCTTGTAAATAAACGCTACCATTTCTGTCTCTGTACAGTTTGTCCGTGTACCTTGTGTTACTCAGCTTCTGCGTGTCTATATCGGCTGATCTGTCCTGCACTCTTCGCACTTTCTTGGTGTTCTCCTACGTATACTTTGCGTCACGTAACTCGACTCGATCGAGTGATCCTTTCTCGTCGACGTTTGTTCGAGCTCGGAAAACAACGGGAAATTGAAACGGGGAACGCGCCGAGGTTTCTTCGGCGGATTAGGTACTATGGTGTTGAGTGTTCAGGGCTGACGAGATGGCAGTTAACGAATCAACCCTCTTATATTTTATATTGGGATATTTCTTGTGGATTTACTTTTGCATTAGAAATCAATTACGAGGGGTGAGGTATGGAATTTATATTTTTGAACGGATTGATAGAAGTCAATCATAAGGGATGATTTTTAGGGTATTTTGTTGTAGGCTGCCTCGTAACTAGTGTTACTAGTTCTTAGACTATAAAGAGTGATTTTTGCAATTATTCGTCTGGACAAAATTTGATGAATATATAAGGGATGAAATGTGAAGTGATTTTCACAATTATTCGTCCAGAGAAAATTTGATGAATATATAAGGGGTAAAACGTATAATAATTTATACAATTAGTCAGAAGTCTAAGTCTAGACAGAAGTCGATATATAAGGGATGAAAGGAATAGTGATTTATATAATTATTCATCCAGACAAAAATTGACAAATATAAGGGTTGGAACAAGAAGTAATTTAATCATCTCAGAAAGTAAATTTACAAAATCAATTTTTTTTAAATCTTCCAATAATTTAAAAAGTCTAAGAGGCGTAAACTCATTGTTCTCGCAAACAAGAGTTTTCTTATTTAGCCGAAAGATAAATCGCTGTTAATATAAAGGGGTGTCGATCTTACCGTTGTTGACCGACTGCCAACTTCTCGGCTCTCAACATTACAGGGATCGATATTAAGGGGGTGTTCTGGCAGTCTGACAGAAAAATTGGGAAGTTCTACGAATTCTTTGTTTGGGAAATAAAACGTGGAGAATATTGTCTGAGAGTGAAAATATTTTGTATACTTAACACTTCATATCCTTGTATCATGTATTCCATTATATTAAAGATAGATACATAAACACAAAGTCTTTTAAATTAAACAATTTTTAATAAACAAAGTCCAAAGTAACTTCAACCCTCTGCACTTGAATATATTTTTACTATGAACAGCTATTTTAAATTTAATAAATTCATTTCTTGTAAAATGAGGGATCGGTGCGTCAGCATGACGCACCCAAGCTTCATGATATTTCTCTAAAAGCTTGCAAACTTACTGTTCAACGTTAAGTTCACATGCAAATACTTTTATTTTAAAAGTTATAAGGGAACATTAACTGCAATTACTCTTCAGGTGAAGTGAGGGACTGGTGCGTCAGCTTGACGCACCCAAGCTTCATATTTCTCTAAAAGCTTGCAAACTTACTGTTCAACGTTAAGTTCACATGCAAATACTTTTATTTTAAAAGTTATAAGGGAACAATAACTGCAATTACTCTTCAGGTGAAACGAGGGACCGGTACGTCAGCTTGACGCACTCCACTTAACAATGCTATCGAAACATTTTTTAAAAACCTTCAGATGTATACTAATGAATGAAAAGTACAAAATGTAGAAACACGATTGCCAGAATACTCCGAGGATGAAAATTAGTCGAAGAAAGGTGGTGAATCGAGAGTAGGATGAAAAAAGAGCGGCGAATTAATTAAACGGAGCAAGGGTTGGAAAATTGAAGCGGAGTAACGCGCGTCGCGACGCTCGGTCTTCTTTTTCTCCCCGGCATCTGTCCGTTTCTCTATTCTTTCCTTTAATCTGTTTCCGCGTCGGCGAGGAAGAATCGAGAAAAGCGGACGGCGTCGAATTCAATTTCGAGAGCAAAGCGCGAGGAAAGCTATCTTCTCGCGAGAAAATAGATTTGCTCGTGGAACACCTTCCCTCAGCGGGTCTCTTCGCAACCGCGATCCCCCGCGAACTCTCCACCCGCGACTTGGACCGCGTTCTTCTCGTCAGGCTCGATCGCGGATAGGTTCTCAGGAAGCGCGACACATTCAGGCGACTTCTCGAAAATCATCAGAACACAATGAAGGACCGGGCTTCCCCGGACCGTTGTTTCTTGTTCCCAGATGAGCACCGCACACAAATGGGAGGTTTTCACGTACCTGACGCCGACCTTCTGCGACCACTGCGGCTCGATGCTTCACGGTATCTCGCATCAGGGACTTAAATGTTCAGGTAGTTAACAAGCATTAACCCTTTCACGATTACAAATCGGTGCGCGCGGACCCTGTGCTCGAAACGCTCGCTGTGGATTATGCTCGTCGTCAAATTTCGCCGCGAACTTTATGATCTTCTCAACTAAGGTTGAGAATGGAACGTCGGTTCGCGAGCGAAAATTTGATCCATGGTGCGAATGTAGCGAGGGTTGAAAGGGTTAAAGAAACGAAAAGCAGTACGCGAAACGGTTTACGGTTGTCGCGTTCACGTACGAATCAGGGCTCGCGATTCGAGAGGAAAACTGTTTTCGATACTCTGTTACGCTGCAACGCGATTTCAGGGTAGGCATGTTCTGCTGTGAACGCTATTAAATTGTACATGGCTTTTCTTATAGGATTTTTTAAGAATAATAAGAAATAAATCATTGTGGTGCACGGAAAATACTTCATTTTGTGTGCAGTTGACAATTTTAATAACTCATAACAGTTGTATGTGATAGAATGCAGATGATTATTAATATCGATATATATCGATGTCAAGTTTTGGTACATATCGATATATTGATACTTTGACATGAAACATCGATATACATGACATCCAATACTAATTCGGATCGATATCAACTTCGATACTAATCGATATCAAACATCAATATTGAATTTCCATATTATATCGATATCAAACTTCGATGTTGAACTTCGATATATATCGATATTGAACTTCGATATTACACTTCGATATATATCGATATCGAACTTCGATATATATCGATATTGAACTTCGATATTAAACTTCGATATATATCGATATCGAAGTTCGATATATATCGATATCTAATATCGATATCGAAGTTCGATATATATCGATATCAAATATCGATATCGAAGTTCGATATATATCGATATCAAATATCGATATCGAAGTTCGATATATATCGATATCAAATATCGATATCGAAGTTCGATATATATCGATATCAAATATCGATATCGAAGTTCGATATATATCGATATCAAATATCGATATCGAAGTTCGATATATATCGATATCAAATATCGATATCGAAGTTCGATATATATCGATATCAAATATCGATATCGAAGTTCGATATATATCGATATCAAATATCGATATCGAAGTTCGATATATATCGATATCAAATATCGATATCGAAGTTCGATATATATCGATATCAAATATCGATATCGAAGTTCGATATATATCGATATCAAATATCGATATCGAAGTTCGATATATATCGATATCAAGGTTCGATATATATCGATATCGAAATTCGATATATATCGATATCGAAGTTCGATATATATCGATATCAAGGTTCGATATATATCGATATCGAAATTCGATATATATCGATATCGAAGTTCGATATATATCGATATTTAGTATCGATATCGAAGTTCGATATATATAGATATCGAAGTTCGATATATATCGATATCAAGGTTCGATATATATCGATATCGAAATTCGATATATATCGATATCAAGTATCGATATCGAACTTCGATACAAAATCGATATCAAACGTCAATAAAAATCGATATCGATATCAAACGTCGATACAAATCGATGTCAAGCGTCGTACATCACTCACTAAAATAAAATTTGTCAACGTAAAACATCGATACAAATTGATATCAAACTTCGATACATATCGATACAGTATTCAATCACAGAACTTTGATTTTAAATAAAATTGAAAGTACAGTTTGTTTTATAATAAACAAATGAAAGAAATTCCGTATACACTAAAAGCGTGTAACAGCAGAACGAATTCTTACAACGCAAAATATTTCCAATCAGAAAAATCTCCGTCGTAGACCAGCGCTAGTTGCATCGACGATTCGCAGGGAGTCTCGCTAAACCGCTCGAGTATCGTAATCTCGCGTAAAGTCTGTCCAGTATGAAGAGTTACCTTTACCCAGATCCCTCATCCCCTCGTTCCAATCTCGCAAGCTTGCTAGACTTGCAACCGATAAAACGTCATCGAATCGATTCGATCGAATCGCTCCTGTCGAACTTCCCAAGGTTCACGTTCCTCGTTTCGCGACTAGACCATCCGTAGATGAACGACTTCCCGCAACGACGAACTCTCTCACGATCGATACGGTTTCCGTGGACGTAAAGATCGAAAGATCCTTTAACGTGTTCGCATGTCTCCCCGAACATGTGTCCTTTAACCGCCTGAGAAACGATTGTTGCTCGTTGTTTGGTTCGGCCGCCGGTAATGCGCACCTCTTCTCTCGTATTTCCGATGGAAAACGGTCCCCGCCTCTTAGCTCCTCGCTTGCTCACAGTCGACCCGTTTGCTCTTCTTTTTTTACCGCACCCTCAAAGTCTGTCTATCTTGTACATATCTACGAACACTTCTGTAATTAGCTGTGTTCGCGACCCGCGAACAACGGTACATCGATGTCCCGTGCATGCTGGTAGCCTGTGTCGTATCGTACATGTGTAGTTTCGCCCTCCACTCGGTAACTCGCGATTTCTTTCGTCCACGGTTCCTCGTAGTTCCCCGGCTTCTAGCAGCGTGTCGCGAGTAGACGCTTTTCGTTTATTTCGAGAAGGTTCTCGTAATTTCACCAAGGTCATTTTGCGATTCAAGCACGAACCCTCGTCGTCCGCATGATTTTCAAACGATTTGTACCGCGCGCCCTCGACTGCAGCCGTGGATGCAGGACAATCGACGGCTGCAGCTTCGAGCGAATCGCGCCCGAGCTTATCCTGCACTCCGCTGCTCGATTCAACGTTTTGAAAGAAAGGAAATTGAAAAGAATAATGCCGAGTTTACATAAATCGGAGTGGCGTTTCGGCTAAAAGTACCACGTTGGACGACGACGATAATCGATCATGATCTAATCACCTAGCATGCGACATGAATGTACACAAACGGTGCGAGGAGAGCGTGCCCAATCTTTGTGGATGCGACCACACCGAAAGACGCGGTCGCATAAACTTGAACATCAGCTGCTCCGGAAACAAGCTCACCGTCGAAGGTACGTGTCTTCAACTCCTCTCCGTCACATTACTACTCTTTATTACCACTCATACCTATAACTGATTCCTACAATTTCGATTACAGTGAAACAGGGTCGCAACCTCATCCCGATGGATCCCAACGGCCTGTCGGACCCCTACGTGAAGCTGAAACTGATCCCAGATTCGGACAACGTGAAGAAGAAAACGAAGACCATCAAGTCCTCCCTGAACCCCGAATGGAACGAGACAATCATTTTGTAAGTCCCCTACTATTTGTGACAAGACAGATTCAAGAGCGTCATTGTTTTAGCGATTTGAAACCGGAGGACAAAGACAGGAGGCTGCTGATCGAAGTCTGGGACTGGGACCGAACGTCCAGGAACGACTTCATGGGCTCCCTGTCTTTCGGGATATCGGAGATCATCAAGGCACCCGCCAGTGGATGGTTCAAGCTGCTCACTCAAGAAGAGGGAGAGTATTACAATGTACCTGTACCGGAAGAGGGAGTGGACCTTGCGGAACTCAAGGTCAAAATGCGAGTACGTTCAAAGGAATTGCCTTCATAAAATTAATTTGACCATGTTTTCATTGTCTAATGTTTATGTCTGTTCGGTAGAAAACGTCGGTCACGAAGAAGCCTACGTCCACTCACGACAAGGAGGTGCCGCACAACATGGGCAAGAGCGACTTGATCAGGGCGAGCGACTTCAACTTCCTCACTGTACTCGGCAAAGGCAGCTTTGGAAAAGTCAGTAATGTTTTATTCATGTTTAGTTGTGGTAGATGAATAACGAGATTTGTAGATGTTCACCTAGAGGGAGACAGTGTGTAGAGGTTCACCTAGATGGCGACACTGTGTAGATGTTCACCTGGATGGGGACATTGTATATATGTCCACCCAGCTGGAGACATTGTATAAATGTTCACCTAGATGAGGACATTGTGTAAATGTTCACCTAGATAGAGACACTGTAGATGTTCACCTGGATGGTGACATTGTATATATGTCTACCTAGCTGGGGACACTATGTGGATGTCCATCTAGATGAGGACATTGTGTAGATGTTCACCTAGATGGAGACACTGTGTACATGTTCACATAAATAGGGACTTTGTATATATGTCCACCTAGCTGGGGACACTATGTGGATGTTCATCTAGATGGGGACATTATGTAGATATTCACCTAGGTAGGAACATTATGTAGATGTTCATCTAAATGGAGACATTTTTTAGATCTTCATCTAGATGAAGACATTCTGCAGCCATTCATCTAGTTGTGAACATTATGTAGATGTCCACTTGCTCAGAGTCTATAAGAAAAACAAATAGGCAGCTGCATATAACGTTAAACATATTAGAAATCTCACAAAGATTCTTAAGATTAGACCCTACACCATCAAACACAATTAGTACCCAAATCTCGTTATTTAGCACTCTATGTAGCACTCTATGTTATCATGAGACTCGAATTCAAGGTAATGCTGGCGGAGAGGAAAGGTACCGACGAGCTGTACGCCATCAAGATCCTGAAGAAGGATATCATCATCCAGGACGACGACGTCGAGTGCACGATGGTAGAGAAACGAGTACTAGCATTATCAAGCAAACCACCGTTCTTCGTGCAATTGCACTCGTGTTTCCAAACTATGGACCGGCTTTACTTCGTGATGGAGTATGTGAACGGCGGAGATTTGATGTATCAGATACAGCAGTGCGGCAAGTTCAAGGAACCGGTGGCAGTGTAAGTTCCCATATTTCGATAACTGTTGTATACTGTTACTGCATTTCTAATGCACTGTTATTGCAGATTTTACGCATCCGAAATAGCGATTGGTTTGTTCTTCCTGCACGGACGAGGCATTATATACCGGGATCTGAAGCTGGACAACGTTCTACTGGACCACGACGGACACATCAAGATTGCGGACTTTGGAATGTGCAAGGAAGGCATTACCGGTGACAAGACCACCAAGACCTTTTGCGGAACTCCTGACTACATTGCGCCTGAAGTGAGTCTCGCCATTTTGTCGACCGTTGATCCTCCATTTTGTCGACTGTCAATTCTCCATTTTGTCGACTGTCAATCCTCCATTTTGTCGACTGTCAATCCTCCATTTTGTCGACTGTTAATCCTCCATTTTGTCCACTGTCAATCCTCCATTTTGTCGACTGTCATTCCTCCATTTTGTCGACTGTCGATCCTCCATTTTGTCGACTATCAATCCTCCATTTTGTCGACCATCAACCCTCCATTTTGTCGACCCTCTACCCGCCATTTTGTCACAACCTAACCTAACAATTTGCAGATCATCTTGTATCAACCGTACGGTAAATCGGTCGATTGGTGGGCGTACGGAGTGCTGCTATACGAGATGCTAGTCGGTCAACCACCGTTCGACGGAGAGTACGAGGAAGAGTTGTTTGCTGCCATTACCGACCACAACGTCAGTTACCCGAAGAGCTTGTCGAAAGAGGCGAAAGAAATCTGCAAGGCCGTAAGCAAGATAATTACTCTCAAGCATCTCACTAATAGCTAACGAGCTTCGTGGTTTCAGTTCCTCACGAAAAATCCCGTGAAACGACTCGGATGTGGTTTGCGAGGAGAGGAAGATGTTCGCAGCCACGCGTTCTTCCGGCGAATCGACTGGGAAAAGATAGAAAACCGAGAGGTGCAGCCTCCGTTCAAGCCAAAGATTGTAAGCATCTTAAGTGGATGTATTTGCATAATTTTCATTTGCATAATGTATTTACATATTAATGTCATGCGTGACAGCTAGCAAAAATTAACCTTTAAGCGAAGATCCTTGAACTTGGAAGATCTTTGAGGAGTTTCGGAGACCGCCATTTTAAAGATCAATATAAAGTTATACTTTTAACTATTCTATTTATAGTTTAACTAATTAAACTTTTATTACTAGTTATAAAAGTATAACTTGTTATATGTTGTTGTTTAAGTAGATTGGTAAAGAAATAAAGTTAAATTTTAACTGAGTCGATGAAGATCTAAGCAAGGAACTAATGTTAATTTTTTGTTCGACAGAAACATCGCAAAGACGTGAGCAACTTCGACAAACAGTTCACCTCTGAGAATACGGATCTAACGCCGACGGACAAGTTATTCATGATGAACCTGGATCAAACGGAGTTCATGGGTTTCTCGTTTCTCAATCCGGAATTCGTGCAACACGTTTAAATCTCCTCGTCCGCTAGTTGTAACCTCTTCACACATTTTCTCTTTCTCTATCTCTTTCTCTCTTTCCATTTCCTAGTGTTCATCTTCCGACTTTTCACTACTCAGGGCTTTCACCGTCATCTCCATTCTCTTCTTCCTTTCTCTTCCGTCCTGATCTCTCCTTGATTTCTCCTCGTTTCCGAGTTGTTACAAAAAAGTTCTAGTTGAAGTAACGCTCTCTCGTAATTCCGAGGACGCGTGTTTTTAACAAGCTACCTCGTGTAGCGAAAATCGTCGATGGGTTCGTTGAGCGAACCCGAACGCGGCGAGGAAAGCGAGCCGGGAATCGTGCAACCGCGTAAACCTCGTGCTTCCTCCTGCGGTTAGGTCGACTTTCGTATTTGCTGTCCACGTTCTTCGCGTGCATTATTATTATTAACATTATTACCGTTGTTACTCGTTTATTTCAGTAGGCTCTACTGTCGCCTTCCAAATGAACGTAATATTATTATAATTATTATAATTATTATTATTATGACCATACGTACGTATGCATATTATATAAAACATTATAAGGATATTACACGTTACGCGTTACGCGTTGTAAATTTCTATTCGCATTTCGTTAACGTTCCACTTCTCGTCGATTTAATGAACCTCGTAAGTAGATGAAACACGTGCGTAGTCGTTCGAGTATTTGCATTATCACGGGACGATCAGCGACGTGAACGTTTTCGTATCTTGTAACGTTACGCCCTTACACACACACGCATATACACGAACACACACATACATAAATTGTAATCAATCGATAATCGAAGCACGAATATGGAGTACCTTTTTAAGAGGTTTATTCGTCTGCTCCGACGTGCTCGATTAATCTCGTATCGGTAATTAAATTAACGATTATAAATAACGAAGCGCGAGTCGAGGAGAGATCGAGTCGTCGCGGTTGTTTCAACGCAGGCGGAAGAGCGTTAAGGTCGTCTTATGGTATCCGTTCAGAAAAAGATTGTTACGGGTAACAACGTTTATATATAGCGCAGCGGACGTTTCTTATGTACGTTAGCGACGTTTGTTCGAGAACCGCCAGAACAGATAGGATAAAACGATCTTCGCAGCGTGTACGATCGCGCGACGATTTGTCTCGTTTTCGACGTGTTGGCCGTTGGCGAAACGCCGACGAACGGTACGCGTCCAATCTGCTCCGCTTTTTGTTCGGTAGCGTTTCGTTTCGAGCTCGAGCCTCGAGACCGTGGAAGGGCAACGCCTCGTTACTTCCTGAAAAAAGCTCTTTTCGTGCCTGAAATCCTCGCATTCGGTGATATACGCTTTTTTTATCGGGCCCGTATCGGCTCACGTGATCGAGGACGAAAACGGACGATCGAGTTTGATAAAAACCAGATGACGCTCGATCGACAAACGCTTTCCTCCTCGATTTCTCTGTTTTCGGTCGGCCTGCTTGCCGACGCTCGATCGTAGGATTAATCGTTACCCGTCGATATAAACTGCGCGTAACGCGTCGTAGAGGTAGTTCGGCTCGTCGACCTGGACGGTGGGCGTCTTCTTTTTTATACGCTTCGCGTTGGCGACTCGGCGAGCGACCAGCGTAATCCGTTCGGAGGCCGAGGTAAAAGGAAACGATTTATTCGGTGATACCTTTATCTCAAGTATCAAATCTAGAAAATGCGAATGTGACAAATCAATGACAAATTGCGATCTTTTTCATAATTGGACACTGCGTAGCAAGAACGTACCTCGTTTTAATTGACAAAGTTGTGAGAATTATTTATAAGTTTCAGGAGTCTTCTAACTGCGTCACTGATTCATGTAGAATTAAATTCACTTACTTGTTTCTTTTTACTTTTGTTTACGGTCTCCTTGCATATACTTTAGTCTTTACCTAGTATTATTTATTTGTACAAGTAAACGTTTATTTAATTGAATTGCTCTTGAGGATATTAAAGTACTTTTAATGTCATTTCCTACCTCACCGACATAGCGTTGCAATATTTATTCCAATTGGATCATAATTTCTATTATACTATGGAATTTTAAAAAGTTTTGTGTATACTTGTACATAGATTGTAACTGTCAATGGACCTGTCATCACGTGGGAGCTTTCCCGCGCAATTTTAAACTCACTTATACATAGATTGTATAAGTTTAAACTCACTTATAGATTATTGTTGTTGTTGATTTTGTTAGGACCTCGATTGCTTTGATCATTGGTCCACATAGATTGTATTATTTCGATTGTAACTTTTGTCAGTGGACCTGTCATCACAAGGAAGCTTTCCCGCGCAATTTTAAACTCATACATAGATTGTATAAGTTTAAACTTACTTATAGATTGTTGTTGATGTTGTTGATTTTGTTAGGGCCTCGATTGCTTTGATCATTGGCCCACATAGATTGTATTATTTCAATTGCAACTTTTGTCAGTGGACCCATCACCACATGGCAGCCTTCCCGCGCAATTTTAAACTTAGTACATTGTGTCGGTAAGATAGGAACATTTTATTCAAATCAAAAATACTTCTCGTAAACGCCAGTACGTGAGATAAAGCTACCTGTCAAATGTTAATTCGGATTTAGAAAGATTAACGTCATTTAATATTAAGAAAATTTATTTTAAATATAAAGTTTCAAGTGCTTTAAAATTTAATAAGTGGATTTGGACTTACAAAATGGCGGGAAAAGTCCTGCGTGTCGATAAAGACGACCGATCTATCGAGCGATATCGCAGTGAATCGTATTTCCTTTATCCTCGACCATCCCCGATCGTCCAGCAACGGAGAGACACGAGTTTGCGAGTATTTGGAACAAAATCGAACGCGTACGTCTGATTAAACGTGTTCCAAAATAAATAAGTAAATATCGTAGTTCTCGTAGTTCTCGCCCCCTTATTCAGCGGGCGATCCAATCTTGTTCTTCGATCGGGCGAAATTACGTAGTCTCGTCGATGTCTCGCTCTTTATCGCCACCTCGTTTACGGTCCAACCTTTGTTCGCCGATAGAAATACAAAGAGCGCTTGACGGTGTTTCGTTCGTTTCGCGTAACGATTGTAACCGTGTACGGCGGTTCCTGGTTCGACGTCGATTAATCGACACATCGATACGTGCCGCGAGAGCTAACCAACGTTTCGCGCGCGTTCCAGGGACGACGGTTCGGCCAACGAGTTTCCTTTAGATCCTAAATGTTCTAGCGCGAGACTACGTAACCTGTGCTCGAGATCTATTTTTGTACCAAAAAATTAGAGAAAAAGAAATTGAAAAAAAAAATTGAGGGAAGAAAGGGAGGAAGGAAAAGACGCGGAGAGGAGAAGATTATATAGCGTGAGTGATTCTTCTTCTTACTCTTCTTCTTCCCACACGTGATCGAGTAGGCGAAACACTTCTTCTCGTCACCGTACCGTGACATCTTTCGTAGCGTTCTTTAACTTCTATACGATTCGAACGACGAGAAAGGATGAAAGCTTGGCGCGAGTACGTTGAAGGTCGATCGTCGCTCAATGCACGATCTCGAAGTGAAAATGATTTAGTTGTTTGACGAACAGCTATCAGCATGATTCGATCCGACCGCTCCGGATGATCATGGAAAAATATCAAATAAGTGACAATTGATTTTACAAGAATTGCGTCGACTTGTTTCTTAATAGAGACACACAGAACCGATACCTCTGTCAATGGACCCGATACAGGATACAGGCATTGATATCTCTGCGTCTCTATTTTTTTCTTTCACTTTCACTCTATTACTCCCCACTCTCTTTCTCCCTCCCGCCCTCTGTCGTCTTTCTGCTCTACCATCCTTTTTTTAATCTACCGCGACTGGCACTTTCGCTCTTCATTCTTTTTCTCTTTCATGCGCGTTGCTCTATTCTCCTTTGGTACGTCCGTTCCCGTCACGGTCTGTCCAGCATTCTCGGTGGACTTTCGTTTCAAAGGTAAGGGGTAGAGAACGGTACGGTTTATGCAATTCTCGATATCGTTGCGACGAACAAGCATACTCGTATAGCTCTCGAACAGTTTTCGTTGAAAATAGACGAAAATTAAACTCTATGAATTTCGATCTCGATAATCGATTTTAATCGTTCCTATTCAGTTTCGTTTACTCGTTGCGAAGTTTGCTTGTTCGGCGCCTGAAAAATTCATATTCACGGATATAAAAAGAATACAAAGAGACAAAAAAATGAAAGATATTGGAACCCTAGCGAATATAATCCGCGTAGCTCCGTTCATTCTCGAAGCTGTAATTAAATCTGTTATTCTCTCGATTATACGTCGCATGATTATACACACGTTCACGCATACACACATATTTTTAAGATGTTTTTGTGCATTTATAATGTCGTAATAAAAGTTTCGAATCGTGCCATGAAAAGCAGTTGCTCGTATCTTTGCGTCTGAATGATAAATTATCTTTGTTTTGGCAACGACAGTGCCGACCGTTTGAATTTCGCGGCTAATGAAGTGCAGTCGCTACTGCGCAGTCTTCGCTGCGCAACGGAAAAGGCGGGAAAATATCTTAGGAGTTTTAAGATTTTTTAACGAATGAGTCGTTAACATTATTTGAAAACTGAGCGATTTCGAAAGGATTTGTCTAAGAAGGGTTGTTTTAGAAAAACTCTGTCGACGATTAAGAACTGCAGTTCACCCAAACGTCGATATGGAAACCATCGCCCACCTACTCAGTTGTCTACAAAAAACCATCGCCCTTAACCTTATTCAAGTAATTAATTTAATGTCCCCTATGATTTTGAATGCATATTAAAATTAATTAAGCCAATAAAATGAGTATTAATTGGGGTTTTTAAAAATTGAACATGTGGCGCCATCTCTCTGGCGAACAGGGTGAACTACACACTTCTGAAACTGCGCTTTAATTAGTTCCCCTTTTTACCGCTAGACGGCAACACATAAAATTCCCGCCGGTAATTGAGCGAGCGAGCCGAAGGCGAACGAAACTCTTATACTTGACTTTGCAACTTCTTTGTTCGCGCTTTTCTTTTGCACCACTCAACTAATTCTCATCAAATTTTGCACGCACATGCGTATGTATATCCAGATGGACATAGAAAAAAAAATTTTTAATCGGACTTGCCACGGAGAAATAATCACCGGGAAAACATCCTAAAAAATGGGGGACCGAACACGCATATAAGGAAAATAAAAAATGAGTATTTCGGGACATTGACGACGTAGTACGGTTCCTGAGGCATTTAGAAACAAATTTCTATTAGGGTTTGATGCGTTTCGATGCCTAATAAAGGCAGAAAATCAATTTTTGTCGAATTCGGTCCAAAACGGTACAGGTGGCGCCATCTAGCGGCGAGCGGCGGAACTACGAAAAATTAAAATTTCGATTTTCTCGAAAACTAGGAACTTTTCCGAAATTCTGAGATATACAAATTGTTCCTTGTGACCTGAGGAATCGAACGAATATAATTATAACTTGCTAGGACCATTATTAAAGAAAATAGAAAAATAGCCCATTTCATGGACTAAAAATTTGCCGTCCATCTTGCGGTGAAAGTTGGAACTAGTCGAAAAAAGTCCATGAATTACACCTTTTTTCTAATTTCGTTATTAATAGCGCTAGCGTGTTATAATGGTATTCTATCGATTCCGTAGGCGACACGGAACAATTTGTATATCTCAGAATTTCGGAATATTTTTCCTTAACGCGTGTTAGGACATACGTTTTTTCAATTTAGTTCGCAGTTTCGCCGCTAGATGGCGCCACAAATTTTCTCCATAAAATGACATTTTTTTTATTTTCTTAATTAAAGTCTTTAGGAAGCTTTTGTTGCATTATTTTGCTCCTAATGCGATCACATAATACTTTCTGAGCCTCAGAAGTACTCAAAGTTCGCTAATTCTCGAGAAAATCGAGATTTTCTATTTTTGTAGTTCCAACTTTCACCGCTAGATGGACGGCAATTTTTTAGTCCATGAAATGGGCTATTTTTCTATTTTCTTTAATAATGGCCCTAGCGGGCTATAATTATATTCGTTCGATTCCTTAGGCGACAAGGAAAAATTTGTATATCTCAGAATTTCGAAAAAGTGCCTAGTTCTCGAGAAAATCGAGATTTTCTATTTTTGTAGTTCCAACTTTCACCGCTAGATCGCCACTTGTACCGTTTTGGACCGAATTCGACA